ATATATAAATGCAAGGACAATGAGAGTCGCGACTCGAAAAAGCGATCCCCACGAATAAATTCTTGCGTCTCTCTACGACTTCTCTTTATTCGTGCTGAGATAGGGGAGCATTGTTAGGGACAATCGACATCCCTCTGAATATCACAATTACAGAATAATGTACCACGAGCAGTAATTGCAACGCTTGGAAGGCCGCGTACAGGAGTAAAGTGACATCATTCAAAAAATCGATCGACTAATTGAATCAAGGACCTAGACCCGAACGACGAGAAAATTACGTCTCTGTCTGCATGCAAAGATGTAACAATTACATCGAAACAATCATATATATAATAAACTGCTTTGAAACATTTAACTTATCTGGATTGAAATTTACAAAAATAAATAGCTAAAGCTAATTAATTTCTCTAATCATGCAAATTTATATAGGATGCTCCAAATTATTCATACTTAATTTTATTCGTAATTTTCCGATTTAATTCAAATCTTTTTATAAAGAAATATCATCAGACACATTCCTTATTTTTCTAATTAAGCGTTTAACGTTTAGCCACTATGGAAATTTTTTTATAGCTCTTTTGTCTCTCAAGTAAACCTATAAATAGAAACGGTTTACAAAGTACATTCGAATAACGGTTACGAGACAATTGTGTTCTTTCATTTATCTCCTTTCTTTTATTTTCTGTGCCGATTTCCACTGTGCGCTCGTCAAGATACATTACATCTATTACAAGAATGCCAGACTTGGTTGGCATTCTTGCCAACTCGTCAAAGATTTGATTTAAAAAAACATGGAGTAAATATATACGATTGTGTAAACTGCAAACAAGTTATGGAAATGAGAAATATAATTAGATTATTGCTTGCATCTGTGTGCTGAATTTTTTTATAATTAGGAACTTGTAATAAATCTAATTTAAATATGCAATCAGAGAAATAAAGAGAAAAAGTATAATTAGTTTTCAATATATCCATAATAATTGTTGAAAATGATAATATGCTATACATATATAACTTTGATGGCAAATAATGTCATATATAATCGATTTCAATTATTTTGATTAGATCCTAAATTGACAAGTACATGAATAGTAAAAATAAAATTTATATACAGCTCGTTTAATAAAATTCTTTGGCATACTATTTACCTTGCGACAAGTTTCTCACATTTTTCAATATTTTCTTTGAAATTTCCAATTTGTAAAATCTTTTAAGAATTTATGCCTAATCATCCCTAATGACTTCAATTTACAGTCATTAGGGATGATTAGGAGGAAAAATTGGAAATAATACCAAAAGTTATCTTTTAGTTTCCCTCAGGGCGATGAATAATTTTTATAGAAATATATTATCGCGACAAATTTTGATACGATGACTAATATTATACTTGCTTCCCCAAAATTACATTGGAAATCAGCTTGTATTTTTTTGTAAAAAGACGTTATATCCGGATTGAATTGTATGAATAAAATATAAGTACGAACACAACTTGAAGCACTCTACACAAGTTTGCACGATAAACGAGAAATTAATTTCAAGATAAAAATACGGTTGGATTCAATAATATGAATATTAACATGATTTAGGAATGTACATTAATTAACGAAAGGAAACGGTAGAAGGATGTGTAATACAAGCCACGATTTCACAATTTACCATGGAAGAACAGGAAAAAGGAAACCCCGTCGGGCGAGCGGACTCTTTATAGTCGGGATACACGGAAACCCTTTTTCTCGGTTCAGGGAACACCCCCAGTTCTTTCGTTTCTATTTCGAACCCTGCATTACTCAAAACGCGAATCAAATAATCAGACGTATAATAAATTCAGAGCTTGCTGTATTTAAAGAATCGGGCGAATCAAAATTTCAATATAAATAATATCAGTACAGTTTGGCGGAATATTGACGGGAAAAGACTTGAGAAATTCCTGAAACGATTCTGGGATCACGAGATTCTAGGAAATGGCAAAGGGAGGGCAAATGAATCAACAGGAAGCTCGAATTCCCGCGATAAACCAAAGATTAAAAGATCGTCGTACTCGATGCGTGACGAATATTAACCCTCTATGCTATTTATCTACGCCCTTCCCCAGTCCGTGACCACTATCATCATCGTCGCCGCTATAATTGGCGCCGCTTCAACCCCTCGCGGGTACCGCGATAAAATCGTCACGCTACTCTTAATCACGAAAGAGCGAGAGAGACAGAGATAGCCCGCAGGAAGTCGCATGTAAATTCTCATCGGAACGCACGTGGGTACGGTCGATGTGTCGACGCTTCGTTGCGTGCACGCACTTGTCGCCCGCGTGTATCATCGCGGTCCCCTCCCTCCCCTCTCACCCCCCCCTCCGGGTCTTTTCTTTGCCACGATACCACTTTTCGAATCTAATATATTTTTTATAAAATCGACGCACCCCAGAGTCCTCGAATGACGAGGGTGCAAGGTATATCGAAGGAATATTTCACGATCCCTTTTTCGCAGTGTTCTTTTCCCCTCTTTAATTATGAATATAAAATTTCAAAAATAACGCACGCTCGAGAGAATACATTATAATAAATTAAAAATTTATTTTAATCCTTCACAAAAATACTTATAACAAAGTAGAGTTTATCATTTTATTTTTTCGCATAATCTCTCGACAGATTCGCGCGTTATGTCAACCAGCATGACGAATAACGTTGCACTGCAATTTCGCGAAAATGATAATTTGCTTTTCTCGTATGTGAAACGAAGAATATTGGAGGAAAAAATTTAAATCTACTTGCCGCAATTGAAAAAAATTTATCGTTGGAGAGTGACGTAATTCTCGATAAAAAAGTTAATTGTGTATAAAAATATTGCAAATATTGGACGCATTCCGGTATACATATTAATCACGTGGTCGTAATCTACGCGACGTGACAAAAGAATTGAGAATTTTTCCCCCCGACATTCTCACACTTTCGAATAAAAAATTCCATGTACCGTATATTCACCGTGCTGGAGAAGTTAATGACGGAAGCGATATTTACGTAACTATATACGGGGTGTCGCATTATCGGCACTCCTCTCGCGCAAGAGAGGCGTGGCGATAGTTCCGTAACAACGCGTGTGCAATAAACACTCGAAAACTCGTGTAAAGACCCTTAGGGTTGCGTTGTGAAACGCGGAGCCAAGTCCAATCTGTGCTCGAGAGTCTAATCTTTGAGATAACGCGAATCCCTGTATCGTGATAAGTTTGAATAGAACGACGTCGAGACAATACGTGTACCTATCGTCGTAAAATTTCGGTCTCGAGATTAGAACGCTACGTTTGCGCCCGCTCGAAAGAAATCTCCTACCCGTCAAAGAGGAAAGAAAAACGTGAGACAATTTCATTTCCAAAAAAAAAAGAAAAAAAAAGAAAAATAATAGTCACTTTGACAGTTCGCGGCGCAAATTCGCGCACACTTTTCCGCGCACTCTTCCTTCCTCCGTTTCGACGCTGGAAAAATCGCGACGCGTACATCCCTGACGCGTTCGCGATCTCGCACACGAAGAGACGCGTAGAAAATGGAGAGGACTCACCCACACACCGGCAGCACCCCGCCGTGACTCACGAACACGTCGCGCATCCACACGATCGGGGCTCCTGTTCGGGGCGGCGCACACAGGTTGCACAATCGTCGTTATCACCACAAAGTCGTTGCGACTTAATTACTCGGCGCGACGAGGCATCCAACGTCCGTTCGCTCGTGCCCCCTCTTCGACGACGATGACGAGAAGGAAAATTCACAGCGCCGAGCGGAACACGTGCTCCTGATAGACCGTACGTCGAAACGTCGAGCACCGAGAGAACGCCCTCGCGAAATTCACCTGTTACGACGAGTCGACGACTACGAGAATATCAGGCCGCGAACTGGAATGAGAAGAAGCGACGAGAAACGTAGGATACGCGTGTTCGTTCGCGAGGAAAGAAAACGGAACGGGGGCGAGGAGCGAAGCGCACACGAGCGCGTGCACGCACGCGGTTTCAATGAGCGAGACTGACTGCGAGGGGAGGATGCTCGGCGAGCGGACGGACGGACAAACGGATAGGCGAGCGGAGCCGAAGGCGGCCGAGCCGCTCCGAATCGTGCCGAGTCGGCCTCGACACCCCGGGGCGTATCGGCGCCTATGGGCAGCGCCGGAGTCGACCGCGAGGGAGGTGAGGCCGGAGAGGGGATGACGGAAGGGGTAGAGAGGCGCGGAGGACGAAGCGGAGAGGGGAGGGGACGGGGGAGAGGGATTTACGCAACCCTCTCCCGAGCGAAAATCCACGTCGAGAAACACGCCGTCCGTCGCGATGCGCCGATAAGCCACGTAGAACCCTCGGCCCGCGCTCTCTCCGTCTCTTTCCCTCTTGCCGCCGAGGAGGAGGAGGAGGGAGAGAGAGAGCGAGTTCTTTCTGTATCGCAGTTTTGCTTCGTGGAAAAGAAACTACCACGAAACTAACCTCTTCCGTTCTGCCCCGCCGACTCGCCGCTGCTAACCCTTCCGACGTAGCCACGTAGGAGCGCGCACACGCATACGTAAACACGGACACGTCCCCGCGCGCGCGCGCACACATACACGACGACACTCGCGAACCGAGTACCGTACAAGCGTAGTGTCGTGCATACACCCAGACGAAGAAAAGGAAGAACCGAGTACAAGGGTCGAACGCGGAGACGAGAGGGCGAAAGGAGGGAAGCGGACGAGGGCCCGGGGGAAAGAGGGAGGTGTATACGCGTCGCGCGAGGGAGGAAACGAGAAAAAGATCGTCTGGCCGAGCCGACGATATCGATTCGCGAGGGTGGCTCGAGATGGCAACGACCCTGTCGCGACGTCCCGATGCCTCGAGATCGTTTCGCGAGCGATGTCACCGCCGCGCGGCCTTATCGACGCTCAAGCGCGCCGCGACCCGTCGACGGGAGCGAGCGAGACGACGATACAACGATGAAAACGGAGCTGGATACACCGCCTGGGAGCGAGGCGCGGACGCGCGCGCCACTTGCACTTACCTTGACATCCTCGCGACTCGACTCGACTCGATGACGGCGACGACGACGCGAGGCAAGGCGAGAAAAAATGGGAGGTAGAGATCAGTTTCCGTGGTGCGCGAAAGGACGGGCAACTTTGTCCGTGCGCAGCACTAGGACGCCATGTCAGCAAGTCGAGGCGCGGACGGACTCTCGGGGCAGATACGTGCGCGCGGACGACCGCTACACACGTACGCGCCACGCACACTCACGAGTCGGGCGACGTGAGCGAGAGCGAGACGCGAAACGCACGCACACCACGTAGCCGACCAACCCGCGCCGGGGAATTTCTGCTGCGCCACCGAACGGCCGTCACGGAACCTCGCCTACGCCCGCCTAGCAGCCCAGCCACGGCCGTGTCTTCCACTCGTAGTACCCTTCACCGTCGTCGCGCGGCACCGCACCACGTCGCACCACGTCGCACCGCACCGCACCGCACCGCACCGCAACACACCGCACCACGTCGCACCGCGCCGCACCGTAACGCAACGCAACGCAACGCAACGCAACGCAACGCAACAGCAGCGAGCGCGACAAACACCCGCTCGAACCCGAACGCAAACGCTCGCCTCGCTCGCTCGCGCGCCCTCGTTCAACCGAACGAACCACCGAGCCGACGACGGCCGACCCGAGCCGAACCGAGTTCCGATCGGGCGCGCTCGGCAGCCTCCCGCGAGAGCGCAAACTTTTACCACCACCGCCACCTAGAGACGAGACGTGACGCGACGCTCCCCTCCGCGTTCTCTACCCTGGTGAGCTCTCTCGGTCGCTCCCCCACCCCCGCACCCTACGCAGCGCGCTGCCGCTTCCCCCGGCACCCCTGTCTCGCTAGCGCTATCTCGCTCTCCCTCTCTTTCACGCGCGCGCGCGCGCGCGACGACGCGGGTCTCTCCGTCGCACTCGTGCGCGAAAATCCCCCCCGTCTCTTTACCCTTTCCATACGTTGCTTCTTCCTCGCGTTAGCCCCCGTAAGGAACGGACGATTCGTCTAATCTCTCTCTCTTTCTCTCTCTCTCGCTCATCCTTTTGCGAAAGCTACATTTTACCTCTATCTCGCTTCCCCTCGATTCTCACCCTCGGTCACTCTCGAAAAGGGGCACTTACTTTCGTCCCTTTGTTCTCACGCTTCGAGCCGAGCGCCCTTTCCCTGCCCCGCGACGCCTTTGGCTTTCTTTCCAAACGCACCCTCGTCCCTCCACCTTTGCGATTGCATTCTTGCACTCGCTTCTCGCTGATGATACTGCTCAAGATTAAACGAAACGAACGAGAACGCTGTTGATGAAATTTTAACGAAACGCTTGAAATTTTGTAACGTTACCCTCTGACCTTGAAATTGGCCCAAACTCGAGTCGACTCTGAGAAACTTTGTCTTGTTCGTCGCGAAAGTGTTGACCATTTCGGTAAGGGAAGGGAGGGATGGGGCGAGGGTCAAGGCGGAGGATGAGAGAAGCGAAGACCAAAGTCCTTTCTCGAGAGAAAGACAGGGTGGGGATGGATCGACCTCGAATATCGCAGGGATGCACGGGAGAGGGATGCGACGAGGTGATTCCCCCGCCACCTCTATCCCCGCGGGACAGGAAATTCGCAAGCGGACGGACGAGGGAAGGAAGAGAGAGAGAGAGAGAGAGAAGAAACGGTGGTAGTGTCGTTGCGGGTTAGGAGGCGATTCGCGCGCTTGCGCATTTTTTTCCACCGCCGCCGCCGACGCGAAGTCTCTTTGCGACCAAAGTTGAAGTTGTTCGCCAACCTACCCGACCACTGTTGCGTGTCTGGTAATCTCTACTCAGCTCCAGAGTCCCACCGATGGTTTCGATACTCCTCGTCGGAATCCCACGTTGGCAACGAAGGCGGCGCTCTGCCGAAAACACACTCGAGTAGCGTGCGTCGTCTCGCCAGCGGAGCTGCTACGCTGGCAACGAGACACGTTCACCCCGACACGCGTGCCTCGCGTCGCAAACGTACTGCCGTCGCCGCGACTTGGCGACGCGCGCCTTCTCTTTCCTCCGTTCTGCCCCCTCTCACCCTTCGGAGAGCGCGTTTAACAGGATGGTCACGCCGTTTCTCGCGCGGTTCTCGCTATACGAACAAAAACAAGGGCGGCTGTTAAAGAGAATAAGCGACATGTGTATATTTATCTTTGTATTTACATTGCTATATATACACGTATATCCCTTGTAGCATGTGTGCGAGGGTTGTTCGCATACGCATCGATAGCTGGCCGATACAAATGTGCGGGGCGAGATACCGTGGAAGAAACTCCACGGGGCTTTTTGGTCGACTGATAAAAAGGCACCGAGACTGGTGCCTTGTCGCGATGAACGAGAGGCGTATAGTCGGACAAAAAAAAGTGCCTGGAAGGAGAAGCTGCGGAGAGAGACTCTCGGGACAGAAGCAAGCGGCGGCGGTGGTAGTGGTGACGGACGGGAGCGTCGTTGGCATGGAGGGGGCGAGGACGACGATGGTAGTAGTCGGGGGGTAAAGGGGTAGACGGACATGTAGACGATGTGGGTCGGGGTGAAGGGGCGTCACCACCGCCTCTGCTGCCGCCGCCGTCATCGCCGTTTGACTCCTCCGACTGCTGTTGCCGATTGTCTAGTGTCCTTGGCTCCGCTCTAGCAAAACTCTAGCTAGTTCTAGCTCAGAGTGTGCGCGCTCGTTCGCTCCTTCTCTCTCTCTCTCTCTCTCTCTCTCTCTCTCTCTCTCTCTCTCTCTCTCTCTCTCTCTCTCTCTCTCTCTCTCTCTCTGAGAAACTCGACTGATTCTCCTACTCTCCATTGCGCCTACGGTCAGGGCTGTATCGCTCGGGGCTGCTTCGCCCCTTCCATCTCTTCTCCGTCAGCTTACTCCTTCTCGGTACCCAGCTCTCTTTCTCGTTTTCTTTCTCTGTTGCAAAAGACTCGCTTATTACATAAATTCATAATCGAGGATTAATGTTTACGATATTTATTATAATCTATTTTCTTCTTTTTCCCTCTTATTGCACCGTATATTGTACATTTTTCTTTTTATATTGAAAAGTTTTGTGATATATAGGAAAGTACTTGTATATATAAAATAAGGAATATAAGAGATGTTTGCTTACAAACATCTATCCGCAATATCCAGTACGACGCGTACCTGTTTAGAATCCTGGCCGTGATGCGTCTAGAGAGCTTAGAAACTTGGATGGGAGAAGGGATACTTAAGATTAGGCGAGCAGAAAGGGGGGAAGAGAAGTGATAGCAATGGCGTCACCGCTTGCGCGCGCGAAGGAGTCGGAGGAGAGGAGGGAGAGGGCTGTCTTTACGTTAACCGCGGGGTGGAGGACTGTGGCGGAGGGGCGGGAGGACAGAGGGACCAAGAAGTACTACACGTGTCGCTGTAGCGCGGGGTGTTGACCCCAAATAGCTTTTTTAACGTGACGTAACCGCGAAAGGGTTGAGAAACGGCCGTGGCGACGGCCGACGCGTCTTTGCCTCGAACTCGGGAGAAAGAGAGAAAGAGAGAGAGAGAAAGAGGAGAGAGAGCCAAGCCTTCTCTCGCGTCTTACCAGGCCTTACCTTGTGCCTTGCCTTGCTTTGCCTTGCTCGGCTCCTTGCCTTCCAGCGCGGCTCCCCGTTATATATGCGCGCCATAACGATCCTTTCGTACTTTGAAACTTGGTCTTCGCGATGATTGGCGTTTGAAAAATACGGTCGATTTACTCTGAAAGAGAATTTTTTTTAAATTAATCATTTTGATAGAGTACGTAAATGTGCAAAATGTATGCTTTCAATTCCCTACATGTTCTTGATTTTAGAGCCTTGCCGGGAGTATCGGAATTATCTTTTTATCTCGAGATCATTGACCCTCGGCTTTCGAAATTATTTGAAATAACTTTTTTTTAAATAAATAGTAAGCGAGATCTCTCGATAACGATACATCTATAAAGATAATATCTATCTAATCGAATATACATACACGCACATGAAGGTACAAAAATGCCTTATACTAGAGACACAAAATAACTAACAGATTTCTTGTTAGCACTATGTGAAAAGAAAAACAACGATGCAATTTATTTTTGAAAAATCAAATGCGTGCAAAAATCAGATTGCGAATTATCAAGATTGTGCTTTTACGAATTATTTATTAGCATCTACATTTTTAGAATCGGGCTAGCATTCACGAATCGACGACGATATGACGGACACGTGCGAATTTGCATTTACAATGAATGCAAATCGAGATTAGGTTCTCGATTAAAGATTGAATCTCGGGTCATCGAGGGTGGCGCATCTCATCACACATGATTGCAGTAAAGTGTTTTGATACATTTACGGAAAATTAACATGACAGAATCACCAAAGAATGTGGATGGGCGAACGCAAAATAGAAAATAAGTGTATGCGCATGCATAATAGAAATATGTTACTATACACACATATAGATTGTACAAAATATGGAAATAAAAATATAAGTGCTATTTTCGCTTAAAATAAAATTTTTCTTTTTTCAAACTGAGATATATAATTTAATTAACATTGATGACATCGCAAACAATTATTTAAAGAGTCCTCAAGAAAAGAAGAAAGAATTAATAGGGAGAAATACCCTCTCCCCTCGTACTCTTGTGGAAAGGCCAACAGGAGAAACGGATTGATATTAATGTTAAATGTTAATGCCATCGCATAACCGCGTTCCGCCAACAACAACCTAACGGGTGACGTCCTATATATCGAATGTCTTCTCTCTGTCTCTTCTTCCTCAATGGTCCTAATTAGTGTACACATAAGGTTTGTGTTACGACACGCCGCACCAGTGCTGTTCCAACTGGGAACCATATGCGACAGGGGAGAGGGGTTAAGTATCGTCTTAACCTCTTTACGGTGTTGTTTGAATTCTCCTCGAATCGATGTAATCCAATAGCAATCTCTCAACGACCCAGTGTCAATGACACCAATCGTGTGAGGTAATTAAATGTGAAATTCGCAAAGTTTTTACAGTTTGCTCCTTAACAATCAATCTGATAACATATAAATTATAAAAGAGATATAATCATTGTGTATTTTCTTTTCACACGCGCTTATTAGATTACTATAATACACACATATATGATTCTTAAAAAATCTGTAATATATGCCGATTTCAATTCTTCCTCTGGAACAAAAATTCCACCGTAGCAAAATACATTTGACTCGAATGAATAATTTTGGGGGGGAGAATCATTAAGAGCGAACCGTGTAAATTACTCCAATACAATATCACATATATAAATAAATATATATAGCTATCTTATCATGGTTACACCCCAAAAAGGCGTGAACGATATTCTTTTTCTCAGCTGGCTGGCAACACTCGTTAATTCCAGCTCGGCCCTTGTAAGGTCAACGTAGGGTTTTGAGGTCGAGGCAAATAGAAAGGATGAGATAGATACCGGTCCCTCGTTTCTGGCGTCGATTTGAAATGCTACGCGTTGCTTTATACCCAGATATCCGTATCCCGTCGACCGCAAAGGATATTCCGAGAAACCGCGACGGCCAAAAGGAAATGGCATGTCAGCTCTTTTTATTTCTCTTGCGAATAAATTCGGATAATCGTTACTCGATATGATCGTCGTCGCGGATGACTCACTCG